CAGACAACCTTGGGGTATGGGTACCGGTATGTTTATAGAGATTAAGGCCACGTTTACACTACTCTGCCACATTGAATCCAAATACCGTATAGTGAGAAATTTTTGTGGCCCAAAATTTTCGCAGATCCATCAAAAAATCAATTTTGTGGGTTTAATTTTCGTGGTTCTCTACTTTTCAGCCATCTTAAACTGTATTAAATTGATTTTTGTGGATTTTATTTCCGTGAAGTTTGAAAAAACATGAAATCCACGAAAATTTCCCACTGTACGGTAGTTTTTGCTATTACTATTTTCAGATAAAACAGAGTAGTATAAACATGGCCTAACATTCCATGCCCACACAAATCAATATTGGATCTCGGCCAAGCAAGACTATAAAAATTCCCCATTGGTTTTCCCCATGGTCATAATCACCACACTTAACAATGACATTAGTGTAAGTTTGTGTTGTGTATGTGTATGTGTGTATGTGCCTACATTATAATTTTACGTACCACAGTGCTGATTGATATCTCTAATATGTAAACATTGTTACTAGCAGTATTCATCTCATCATTATCAATAATATCAGTCTCTACTCCACCAAACAGAACAGCTCTAGTGTTGTTGATCTTTTCAATGATAAAGACACAAGCAGCTGGTATACACAGGCCAATGATTGTAGGATTATGCCATTTTCCTAAATTATTGTTATAATTTTAAAACAGAAACATAAAGTCTTACTTGATGATAGATTATACATTGAGTGCTCATTAGTTTGCCATTTTCCATCAAATAACTCAATGTATTTATGATAAGGCAGTTGCACAGATGGTTCGGATCCTATTCCTCCTATCATTAGTAAATGGTGTACTCCATCATGTTCAAATGATATCATTCCACCACCGGCTCTCCTCATAACTGGTCTAGTTGCATCAGTTGGTTCTAATTCCCTCCATTGAAGACTAACGGTATCCAGCTGTGTAATACTGTTGTAATAACAGATGTCATGGCCACACCATCCCCCAAAAATATACAATTGATCTTTTATTGCAGTACAGAAGCATCCTCTAAATCCTAATGGAGGAGTACCACTAGTACCTTTAGTGATCCATTGACCAGTTGAAGGAGTAAAGTGTTGTATATTAGTAGTGAACTTTCTCTTCTCTTTACTATCATGTTCTTCAGGTAGGCCTCGAGGTAAACCATCCTGATGACCACCCCACACATACAGTGAATCACCTACAGATGCAGTGCGGTGAAAGGATCTTTTATTCAGTTGATCTATATAGCAATGATTGACAGTAGTACATGATATGATACTGCAGGGATAGAATCTTACTTACTTTTAAATCCAAACAACAAGGAGGCTGCCATGGATAATGCGGGGTGGAACTAAACTTAGTAAACTATAAAGTATCTAAACACTAAATAGTCATAGATTATCCGGAGGGATCCGGATATAGATCTAATCTAATTTAGAGCTTAGTAAACACTAAACAAAGCAAAGCTAGCCGGGCTAGCTCAGCAGGTACACGTAGCTCGATCTTCTCTCTGAGGCCCTCTCGTTCTCTTAAAAAGACTAAAAAAGAATGTCGGCCGTTCATCCAAAACAAGCCAAGAATGCCCCGATGATGGTACAACCAGTTCCCATTCAAGTATGACTTCAGTTCAAATAGAGATCTAAACATGATTGCATTTTTTGTGTAGATGGTTCCCTCGATGGCTCCATACCAGCCTGGTATGATGCAGTATGCTATGGCTCCTCCTGTTGTTCACTTACAGTCTGAATTTGTTCCTAACGATTACTTCATTCCTACACTAGTTATTGCTATTGTCTGTCCTATTATGAGCTTCTCTACAATCTTCTTCACTGTTGCTGCTATAATCTGTTCAATACTGGTAAGCACACATGCACACAACTACGTGTAGTGCCGTATAGCTAGTGATTTAGAAGGGAGTAAGTTTTGGTGAATTGCTTAAATTTCAGTTTGTGCCGACACACCATTGAGAAATAAGCATGCATGTGGCCTGCATATGGCTTAAAATGGCATGTTTTTATTTTGGTTGAATGGCAAATAAAACACTAAATTCTATATCAGCTAAGGCAGTGACACAATTATAGCATAATACTTTGAGATTTTCAAGGGCTAAAATTTGTCAAAAATAATGTCTGCAATTCATTTTTTTCACAATAATTGTTTTAGTAAAGTCCAAGATGGCTAAATTTTGATAAACATTATTATTTTTGTAGTCTTGGATGCATAGAGCAAAAGGTGTACAATATTATTTACAAGCCAAGAGGTTTGGTCAAGCTGCTCTAATATTGGACATCATTGCTCTGCTCTGGTTATTTGCTTGGGGTTTCTTTGTACTGTCATATTTAAGTTACATTGTATACATATCCCCCTTTTTTTCCTGATCTAAATTATGTGTTATTCTGCTGTATTATGTTTATCATCCTTATTTGTCATAGTTTATTTATAATAAAACAATCACTGACTGATTGACTGGCTTATCATACACATGTACATGTATATGTCAATTCAAAATAATTCTTTAAATATAAAAATAACAAGTAGCTTCATGTGTCACAGACTACAAAAAATAATGACATGGCAAATAGAATTGATTAATTAATTTTCTTCAAGTACTTTAACAGCTTCATTAAGGCCTAAATATTGAAATACTTCAATAAGGTCAGCAAGCGATGAATTAGGATAGAGCTCTTTCCACTTTTTCAACAGACGGTATCCTTGTATGTCTGGGTCTGTGAAGTCGCTCTGAATCTGTTGTAAACAACTGTCAGGTATTCCTAAATATCCAGCAAGTTTTGGTAACTGATTCAGGTGTGATGAGCACTTCATTAAAACACCATCTAGTAAAAATTGAAAAAATGGCAGTGACATAAAATACAATATCAAAGATCATTATTTCTTATATATAGTGATAATATTTATTTACTTGATACTCTGCCAGTATTAGAAGACATAGATGAATTATGCAACGGATTCGCAAACAGACCATTAAGAAACGTGATTACATGTATAGACACAACTATCATGGTATAGATATGCTGTTGTTGCAGTGAGCCTACAAGTTTGAATAATTTTGGTTTGTAGCAAAATAGAATACAATGAAATTCTTACTGGAATCATGTGCTACAAAAGTATTGTTAGCAACAGGAGGAATTTGAGAATAAGAAGCTGGTGCTGTGATTAAATCAATAATCACTAATCTGTTAATATAATATACTTACCTCTGCTGGAAGTGTTATCTTTGCATGATGAATCAATGTCAACAGAGGCTATGATGACAATCATTTTAGTTTAATATATTTTAATACACATACTTGTTGTTCCTTTTTGTGGAGATGAATGAGGAATACTTGTATTACTTCCGGAAGTTCCAGGATTAATAATAGGTGTGTCACTAGGAAGAGGCATACTTGGTTCATCAGTACAAACTGATTCTGCTTTGGAGGTGCTGGGTATTGGTGTGCTAGTCAAAGCTACAAGTGGTACATTGGTAGCACTTTCTGTATTAAGAGAAGGTATAAAGAAATTAACAATGTACTTATACTAAATTTAATGACAAAATTGCTCACTGCTTTGTGTCTCAGGAGACTTCGATCTATCAGTGTCATCTTGTGATTCATCATCAGTTTTATCTTGTGATTTGTCACCAGATTCAGTACAATTAAGACCTATTACAAGTGACAGTCAGATGGTATATGATAAAAAGTCATACACTTTTGCTGCATTCTCTCCTAAGAATGCTTTGATTTTATTTATAGCTCTCCTATTGTTCAAAT